ACAAGTTGCGGCGTTTTTTCTGCTACTCGGGTCCTGTCCACGCTGCTGGCTTAGTACGCAGGCAGGCAAGCAGCCAGTCAGACAGTCAGACAGGCAGGCAGGCAGACAGGCAAGCAAATAACTAGGCAGTGCCAGGCAGGCAGTCGGCAGGCAGGTCGACAGTCCAGTTCGCAGTCTTCGCAGCGCATAAATCACAGTCTCACAGCCAGGCCGAGACCACGCACAGACTCAAACTCGAACTCAACTCTAACTCGAACTCGAACGCAACGCATCGGCAAGAAAGTGAAATACCGAAAGAAAAACATCGCAGTGAGCGTGCGTGTGCGTGTGTGCATCTGTGTACGTGTGTGTTTGGCAAAAAAAGTGAAAGTGCGCAAAATGACTTGAAGTGCAAGAGTGCAGAGCCAACCAAAATATATAAACCAATACAACCGCCCACACGTACAAGGCTCCAAATCGTGGCATCGCCTTTTTTCTTCAGGTGGGCTGATCATATATGTGCTTCGAAATGCCACCGCTTGCCATGACGGCTCAACATCCAGCTGGCCCAAGGCGCACCACTTGGTTGCAGGTGTTGCAGGCGCCGTTCCTGAGCGCCGCGACGCCATCTTGAATGCCAGTGAACGCCCAACGCCCAATACTGCCACCCATGCACAAGCCAAAGACAATGTAAACGCCGGCATTTAGCATGTAGGCAGTTTTTTCTTCATTTCCAAAAACAACCAAAACTACAAACCAGCCAGCCAACAACAAATAATTAAATAGACAAAGTTACATTTTTACCAATACGATAAGCAGCAGCAGCAGCAACAGCAACAACAACACGCATCGCATTTTGTTCGTCAACAACAGCAAAGCAAACAACAATCCAACATAAAGATTCAATATCAAAAAAAAATAATTAGTAGCTTAAACTAACTACTTAATATACATATATACTAAGCAGGCAGTCAGTCAGTCAGTCAGAAGTAACTTTCAGTTTCAGTTCCGCACAGATTCCGATTTGAAGCAAAATTCAAGCGTCTGAATTTGATCTCGTCTCGAGTTGAGTTTTCCAAGTTTCGGTCCAACAAATTTTGTCTCGGTCCATATCTAACGGCAAATTTTGGTTTTCTGCAAATTCAGACGTAACTCTTTTGTTAATTAAACCAATTTAATGGTGCATTTTGGCGTCGCACATTTGGGCGAATAAGAAAATAAAAAACAAATTACTAAAAACAAAAACAAATTTGAAGAGAAATTCAAATCAAAACCTACGAAATTACCTGAACATTTTTGAAACAACTGAAAAGTCTACGAGAGCACCACGGAAGCACGGAGCAGAAAATTATAAGCCAAATTTTACATGTGCAAAATCGCATTATAATTATTTACAACAAAAAAAAGCGAAAAAATTTAGAAAAAATTAAAAATAAAAAAAAAACTTTAGGAACACACGAAAAATTAAAACAAATTAAAACCAATAATTGTTGTGATGTGATATTTTTTCGATATATTTTTATTGTTCTGGTAAGTGAAGTAGTCATTAAAGTATTTTATTTTTATAATATAAACATCTATGATTATAAGTTATTTGAAAAATATATATTTTTTGTCTCATCACATAAATTTACATTTGAAAATTAATGTATAACCAATGTATAATAAGTAAGTAAGTAATGTAAGTATAAGAAAATTATAAAATATATAAGAAAAACGCCCTTTTAATGCTCAATTCTTACGGGCAATATATATATATATATATTTTAATAGAAATTATTATATTCGTTTGGTAATAATTGTTTTTAGTATGCCTGATCCTTATAAAGTTTTATTTTTATTTTGTATATTTCTTAAAATTTTTTAGTGTTGAATATTTTGAAAAATATCATAGTAAATTGCAGGCAAGTTTCTTATAGGACTTGAAAGATAGGAAATAATATATAAAAAGTAATATGTATGTATTTTTTCATCTTATTATTTTATTTATATCTAGACATGTTCTTATTATATATATATATTTTTTTTTTTCATTTCAAGGTTCCACAAAATCAATTTTATTATTTATATTGAAAATTTAAGAAAAATAAAAATATATTTCATACACCTTGAAATCTCATCTGCTAAGTATATTGCATAAATAATTTCGAATTTTTTACTTTCACCAAACTATCTCAATAAATATATTAAACTTAAGGAGTTCAATCGAAAATATTGGCGCAAACGATCGTATGAGTTGGCCATGATCATTTGTTTCGTCCCCAGACGCCTTCCCCCTATCTATTAATCGACTCGGGTTCCCTGTCGTTCTCAGTGTTGACTCGTCGGCATCGCCGGTGACGGCGCTCAGCTGCAGCAGCAACACACGGCAGCAACTTGCAGTATGCAGAAGGATGCGGCTGGTTGTACGTGTATACGATTCGGGGCTCCCGAGCTGAAGGTTTAGTTGTAGTAGTAGACTTTTTGCTTTTCTACATTCACACATGCACATGCAGCACACAGATGCAATCGGCGACGCAGAGTTTGGGGCACACGGCACATAATGTAAACAAGGGCATGCGCAGTGCATCGCTGGCAGCGGCATTTGCGCTTCCCCAACTGGAGAAATGTTGCAATGCATGGCAATGCAACTAGAAGATAGTGGCCCAAAAGGGGAGGGTGCACTAGGTGGGAGGGCGACGCTATGCATTTACCCAACTGCTGCTGTTGCTGCTGTGTGTGGAGTACACGACAGCGACGGTGGCGTCGCTGCCAACGTCAACTTGCCACAATTTAGATGGCCAAAAAGGAGCTGCAACAAGCCAAGCTCGTGTGCGTATGCCAGAGAGTGCTAAAGAGAGAGCCAAACACAGCGAAAGAGAGAGAGAGAGAGAGAGAAAGAGAGAAGAGAAAGCGAGAAAGAGAGTGTGTGTGAGATAGAGAGAGAGAAAGCAGGAGTTGGCTGCGACTGCAGGCCACAGTCCCCCAAAAAGCATGCAACCCAAATGCACTTGAAGTACGAGGCAGCAGCGGCGCCTGCATGCAGGAGGAAGCAGACACGCACAAGTAGTCGTTGCTTCTTTTTTTATGTTTTGTTGTCTCTTTTCGGCATATTTTTAGAAGCTATGCCTGCCCCAGCTCCAAACTGTTTATTTACTTAACCAGACTCGTAACTTTTACATGGAAGCTACGCCGGACCAGCAGCAGCAGGAGCAGCTGTTCGTGGAGGCTCAGCACGTGCAGCAAGCAACTGACCAAAAGGCAGGCAGCTCAGCTCACACACACATGCACACGCACACACACGCACACGCATACCTCTCTGCCAGGAGTTGGTGCATTGCAATTCTGCAGCGATGATGACCATGATGATGATGAGCAGGAGCCTGTCTGGCCCCCAATGGGTGGCAGTTGGGCTGCCCACACGCACCGCCAGCAGCTGCACTTCTTTATCATAGTCGTTGTCGTCGTCGTGAACGTGGCTGCGTGGTTGGTCGGCTCAGTGGGCAGCTGGCTGGTTAGGCTGTGTGTGGGTGTGGGGCTTAAGTGGGCTGTGAGCCACCATCCAACGGAAGTGTGGTCGCGTAGACATTGCGTAGTCAGCGCCAAGTTTTTTCTATTTCTTGATGCGCAGTTTTTGGAATTTTTGTTTTTTTGGGAAGGGAGGTCCACCTAGCTGTTCGATGTGCGTTCAATGCAGCGACGCCGTGCAGTATATAGACGCTTTACATAGAGCGAGCTGTTCTCCCCACCTCTGTGTGTGTGTGTGTGTGTGCTTGTTTGCATGTGTTTGCGCTCGCGAACTTTGACCAAGGCAAAAAACTTATCCCAGATACTTTTTACATAGGACTTGTATAACTAGGGGATTGGGGGGAGCCTGAGAACCATTGCCCCGCGCTGCATTTTCCGCGTCTGTTGGCCTTTTTTTATTTTGGCGGTCGCTCTAAAAGGGGTTAGCATGGAAGGCGGGAGGTGGCAACCATGTACGCGTCGTGCTCGTCCGTGTTATGTTTTGTGCCGTGTTGTATCGTTGGTCGCTGGTAACAGGCTGCCGTTAGCTGGTCGCTTGTTGATGGAACGCCGAACGCATCGCAGATCAGATCGGCATCGGACGTGCGGGTAGTTGGCATACGGCTTTTGGACGTCTTTTGAGTGCCAACATTGCTTTTTTATATTCTCGGCTCGACGCACCGAGCAAAAGGACGCAGAACGCACGCACGCAGTTCCCGAGTGGCAAAGCGGTAAACGGGCAACGTCAGCGCCGTCGAGAAGTCCTGGCAGAGACAGAGCTGGTCCAAGTCGTCGACGGTTCGGTTCATTTTCGGACTTGCTTATTTTCTAAAATGCTTATACACACTCGCATTCGCATATAAAAACCCATATTATTATATATATAATATATATATATTGTATATATATTGTATATATATATATATATATATATATATATATGGACGCAAAGTGCGCGCGCGTTTACCGCTCCCGAAGCTACCCTCGTATCGGCCGCCGTTGCCTGCATTGAGTTTCGAATGCCATTAAATATTATTCATATACAATAAATGAAATAAAATAAATATATATATATATATATATATGCATTTATATATATATATATCTATATATATCAAATATTGCCAAGAGCGTGCGCGAGTGTGAGTGCGTGTGATTTACAATAACAACGCGAAATTCTAAACGCTTCGAATGAAGCAGCGAATGCAAATATAAAATGAAAATTCACATTATCAAATTAATTTTTAAAATTTATTGCCGCCTAATGGAAATAAAATACAATTAAAAAAAATAATATTCCCCATAACAACAACAGACATTTAATAAAGAAAAAAATAAATAAAAACAAAAATTGTTCATGATAAATATTTAAGCCGTAATTCCAACAAGTCCAAACAAGTTTTTTAAAAAGCCAAAAAAATTTCCAAGGCGACTTTCACATATCATCTTCAAAGTCTGCGTCGTCGTCTGATCACCGTTTTTGTTAACCATTTTAAATGGCTGCCTCAAAATCAAAAACTAAACTTAACTCACAAACATTCAAATACAAATTCCAAGTCAGTTGTTTGTTTTAGTTCTGAAACACACGAACAAGAAATAAAGACCAAAGCTAGAGATCATCATTTCTTTGGCGTTCTCATGTACGCATACAAATTGAGGCTGGTGCAATTCGACAGATACTTTGACACATTCCAATTGCAAGAGCCACCAAGTTGGAATCCCTCGGATCGTTCGCATCGCATTTCGTTAACGGCGACGGCGACGCAGACAAAAATGCCAAAATTGGCAACGCGCTGCGCCCCGCACTCAACGAACTGCCACTTCAGACAACCAGCATTAACTGTGGACACGAGAGAGAACCTCAACATTGCCATGGATAAATAACATCAGTAAACTGTCCTGTAGGTGATCGCAAAAAAAACAAGAAACCCTCATTATTTTTTTAAAAAACCTTGCATCTAAGTTTTATGATGTTTGCGATTAAAGACCAAACCTATAAATGTTTTTTACTATGGTCCCTTTCGCTGCTAGACGCTCGGAACCGTTAGGCTAATTGACACTTCAACATATATCTACTTCTTATTTAATTTATCTATATTTGTTAATTTTTTTAATTATAATTTTATTCTTACTTTGCATGTTTTAAATATTTTTACAAATCATATTTGTTTGTATCGTTTTCAATTCAATTCAATTTTAAAATAAATTTTGTTTGTTTGTGTTTTTCAGATAAAAACTCAATTCAATCTTAAAAATAAATATTATTACATTAATAATAATAATAATAATAAACGAATATTTGTTCATTAAATATATATTCATTATCTATTTTATAAATTTCTTTTAGCTATATATTTTCACATAATCTTCTTACAAATCTAAAACTACTTGTTAGCTTCCTACCTTTGCAAATCCAAGCACGTGCTCGCTGCCTGTTATATACAAAAGTAAAAAAGAAAGAAAATAAAATGAAAAGGAAACACACAAAGACAATCCCACACATGTATCTAAAAAAAAAAAAAATTTGGATTTAAGCATAGAAATATATTAAGCTTGAATTCGAGAGTTTCTCCAACGCAATATTCGCCGCGACTTCCTCAGCTGCCGTCGGCAAAAAGTCAAAGACAGTATAAAACACTCACACACACATTGAGTAGGGAATCTGCTTGCTTTCGGCATGTTTTATCTTAAGAAGCCAAGCGCATTAGGGCTGCTGCCAAAATACGGCTGCCCATTTGCAGGGGTTGCTTAAGCTGCCTCCCACAGAACAGGCATCCACAGACACCCACACACACAAACGCATCGCTCATACTCCATTTTGTTCTATTGCCCCAACGCGCAGTCGCCGTCGACGTCGCAGCTGGCGTCACTGTCGTTGTCGCTGCTGCTGCTGCTGCTGCTGGCGCTGCTGGCTGCCCCTCCATATATTTGAATTGCGCACTAACTCTAGCTCAATGAGAGAGTTTTTTTGAGCTCCACACCCCACCCCCTCCCCCACCACTCCATTCATTCCCTAATGTGTATGTGTATCCTGTTTTTGCATTTATTTTATTGCCCGTGGGGGAGGCAGCGCTGTCAACGATTTTATTTGCAAAAAGGAACCCAAACGGGGGTAGCGCTTGTGTTTTGTGTTTGCTGTTGCCTCTGCTGCTGCGACTGCTGCTGGCTTTGCAAATCTACAGCTGCTACCCGATGTCCTGCCAATGTCCTGCGCTCGCGTATTTTTTCGCGGCTGCAGGAAACACAATTTTTTGCACTGGTTGTTGTTGGGGCTGCCTGCCAATACATGTATGTTCACTTACACGCACACACACACACACACGCACACTCACACTCACAGACTGTGAAATGCGACGCGGCAACCGCGTCGTCCTCGGCCTATTCGCGGCGAAATAATTTTTCGCATTTTTAGTACAAAGCTTCACATCAACGTCGTCGTACAAACAAATTTTTATTTTCGGATTTTTCAATTACGTTTTCATTTATTTTTAAGTATTAATTTTGCGTGCACTAAAAAACAAAAACAACAAAAATACAAGCAAACCAAAAACAACAAAATCATTCAAAAATTTATCATACGTGTATATTGTACATAAGCATACGAACTCTATCCTCGAACCAAAGCAACTACAGCAAAAGTCAAAAAACTTTTCAGATAAGAAAATTGAAAACGCATAAACAAAAAGAAAACGAACAACAAAATTGAAGCAAACATTTTGCCGTTTTTTGGGAAAAGCGTATACAAAAACGAAAAGTCGGAACCATTTTTATGTGCAATTTCGATCAAGAAAAAAAAACACTCTAAAACTCGATCTCGACATCAAGCTACCAGAAGAAACTCTCAACTGTTTCGAAGTATATTTCATTTTGAATCTTTGCATTTACTTTAAAAGCTCTTAAAAAGAAATCATAAGCATTTTAGTTTAAAATAAAAAAAATAAAAAAATAAAAACAAAAAGGAGACAACAAAATACTACAAAATACCAAATTCAAATGTAAAATCAAAAGTACAAAGCACAAAAGATTGTTGGCAACATTTTTATAAGTATATAAGTATTATTATTATTTGTATATATGTATTTTTTATACGACAACATCGCGAACAACTAAAAACACAAAACAACACGAAAAGCAACAACATTTTCTACACCAACAAAAATAAAACACGTGATGCTCTGAGACTCGACGAACTGGTAAGCAAAATGTGAGCGAAATCTCTGTGTTAAATGCAAAGGAAATTAGGAGAAATCAGACAGACCAACAACAAAAGCAACAACAACAGCAAGATGCTTACGTTTGTTGCTGCCGCTGACTTCTCCTTTCAGCTTCAGACAACTCCATTTCTAACACCTCCTAACATCCTCTCTCTTCGCTCTCGCCGGCAGCACACGAAGACTGCAGTGCCTTCGTGCTTCGGTCAACACAATTTTCGGCTGCTTCGTGCGGCGCTGCTTTCTAATTGCGTTCGCTCTCTCTCTCTCTCTTTAGCTGCGGCCTGTATCTCGCTGTATATGTGCGTATGTGTGTGTGTGTATGTGTGTGAGTGCATTACATCAGCCTGCAACAGCAGCAGCAGCAACACATCGGCATCCTTCGGGCTTCGGCTTGGGCGAGTGTGCTTGTGTGCGTCTGTGTGTGTGTGGGAGTGCGTCTCTCTGTGGCAGGCCTGCTGCTTGCTAGCTGCCTGCTCCTTCTAGTTCATCTTAAGCTACGCGCGCGTACGGTTCGCCTCGCCGTTCGTGCTCGTCGGTTCAGTCGTCGCCTCGCTCGTGAGGACGCTTCGTTATCGGCTCTTGCCTTGCTATCTTTCTTCGTCTAGGTATGTTTGTATGTGTGAGCAAGCGCACACTTACTTGCACTTACTGCCGCCTGCGTATAGGAAATTATCTGCTGCTGCTTCGCCGCTGCTGCTGCTGCTGCGACGTCGCCTAATACATATATAAATAATATATATTATTATATAGATATATTTAAATGTGCTCTTCGTTCCTCTCCGGGTATATAGAAAAAACAAGCAAGCAGCAGACAGGCGTCGTTAGGTTGGAGCAAGCAAGCCAGCAAGCAAGCAACGACTACGACGACGACGACGTGGCTGCCTGCTTTCAAGAAAGTGCTGCATACTTATGTGGGAACTGCGTTGACGTCGCAGTAGCAGCAGCAGCAATAGCAGCAGCAGCGCCTTGGTCTTTGGGTTTTCGGCATTTGGCCAAACCAAGCATTTTACTTTTATATTCTAGAATACAAAATTCAGTACGTTTCTAGTCACGCGCGCTGGCAGAAGTTTTACTTGGCGTTTCTGTCTTCTGACCTGACGACGTTGACGCACGCCGCCTCGACTTGTGTAAAAATGTATTCAATTATTTAAATCAAACTTACAAATTTAACCGAAAATAAATTCAAATATTAAAAAAAAAGCCACTGACGGAATTTCTATGGAAGCATAAACAGTGCAATAAGCAACTGCTAAATCAAACCAACAAATCTATAAAAACTACCAATTTAAATAATAAATAATTAAAATATTTCAAAATATTTGTCAAAAAAACTATAATATCTTCAATAAAAATAAAAAAAAACTAATCTCAAATATTTCGCTGCTGCTCGTGGTACGTGAGAGTCGCAGATGATGTTTAAATTCAAAGTTGAAATCGAGATGAGTTTATTTTTTGCACACTTCAAAGCGGACGTCAGTTAGGCGCTCGATTAGCCAACCAACGCGGCAATCACACACACGCACAAAAAACATAAACAAACACACACACACACATTAAGTAGCGGCTGTTGCTGGCATTGGTGGTAGCCAACATTGCGCATACGGCAAGTTGTCACTCAGTTTCGCTTGCTTCGTATTGGCAGCGACTGCTTCATGGCCTTGTTGGGGCAAAAACTTGGCCGGAAATTATCTAAAACTCTTAAGGCATGTTGCCACACAGGCAAACACAAAGTGGAGCGCCTTTGATTCGCCGCAGCGTTGCTCAACTTTGTCAGCAACTGGATTTCATACACACAAATACTTATATAGTTGAAATACGCACACAGAAATTTCTAATTTATATAAATACTCTCACACACATACACTGACAGCCACAATATGGGTTTCACGAGTCGAATATAAAAGCACTTGGCCTTCGTTTCTTGTGAGACATTCGATCGTCTTGGCTCGCAGCGTCAGCGTCGTGGCCTCGCAGGCCGGAGCAACAGCAGAACATAGTGTGGAACAGAGGCAGCAGCAGTAGCCAGTTAGGAAAGGCAGCTGGTCCTTTGGTCAGTTGGTCAGTCAGGTAGTCAGTTGTAGTTCGGCTAACGCAGCATCCAGTTCATGGGTACGTGTTGGGACTTTGTCAAAGGACACTGTTCTGCGAGACGTATTTCCATTAAAACGTATTTTGTTTTAGCTTAATTAGATTCATTATAATATGCAAATAGTTTAATAATTTACAATTATAATTAATTAAATAATACTGTGCAAAATACAAACACTGAAAAAGTGTCAAGATATAAAATTTTGAAATATGAATATTTAATGAATAATATTAATACAAGCAATGTGTGTAAACATTAGCAAAAACTTCAAGAGATTGAGTTAACATAAATCGCCTAAAAAATAAATTAATATTCAAATAAGTGATTTAATATGTTAAATAAATTCCAACACATAAATTATACAAACTTCTTACGGAACATAAGTTTTCTTATATGCTTCCCTTTAGATATTATAGATCTTATTTTTTTTCCAAATATAATTCAAATATTATACATTATGTTAAATTGTATTGAATTGTATTCACAATTGGAATATTAAAAAATTGTTTAAAATATTTTAAAATGTTTTTAAACATATTCATGTTATATTTATGTAATTTTTTAACTTATTAAAATTCTTTCAAATATTCTTTAGAAATTCCCTATTTGGAAGCAAAAAAATTAGAAAGAATGATTAAAAATAAAATTAACAACTAATTCACATTAATAATAAACTCCAAAAGCGCTGCGGCAACGAAACGAAATTTTAAAAAGTTCTTTAAAATGTGGTAGAAAGATTAAACTTAATCAACAAGCAAATATAACTGAAAATAAAAATAAAATGCGATAACAAAAATAAATAAAAAAATGTTTAAAATAATGATGCGCCGTTAAAAATTCCAAAGAATGTTTATTAAAATGTAAAGTGTAGCCCAACTTTCGGCAGTGCTTGAAGTGAAACCAACACGCAAATTTTGAAAATGTAGCATTCAGCGCGGCTGTGTGTTAAATGATATTATTATTATTATTATTATGTTGCCACTTGATCCAAAATGTAATAACAAAATATAAAAGTGTTTAGTGAAGACCGCTCTTGACCCCTCAGTTGCCCGCAGCGCTTCAGTGCATTTGTGTTGACCCCTGTACCCGTGTGACATCCAAAATCCCCCTAAAAGAAATTCAATTGCAATTTTTTTGTGTTCAAACGAGCCGGCTACAAAATGTGCCAGCAACGACGTCAACAACAAGCCCCGCAACTCCAGGCACAGGCACAGGCTTGCCACGAGCTTTTGCCACTGGCACAGCCACTGCCACTGCCTCTGCCACTGGTCAGTGTCCAGTCAATGGCGGCGCCATGGTGGCATCCAAGCCGGGCCGCTAGGTCCGCCAGTAGCCAACGCTGAGCCGCAACGCAGTTGCCGCTGCACGAATTCGCAACGAAATCGCCAATGGCTATGTAAACTTAAATTAAGGGTAAAATATCGCAAATGGTATTGGTGCAAAAACAGAACAAACAAAAAACTACTAAAAGAAAATAATAATATATGCATACTTGATATAAAACATAAACCCAAGACTTTCGAAGCTTTTGAGCCCCTGAAACGTTGAGCTTTGTTCCCTTTATTATGTAGTATATTATGTATATAAAAGGCAATCACAGTTCATAATTTAAAAGCTTGCATATAAATTTAACCGAAAAGCAGCAAGATTTTATTTTATTTGTTAATTGTTTTCATTAATTGTTTTAATCTAACTATTTTTTTATTTATTAATTTTACTCAATAAAGTTTTAAAAATGTCTTCCAGAGTTTTATGAGCTAAGAACTAACTAAGTACTTTTGTTAAAATTCTTTTATCCTAATCTGAATGTTGACATAGTATATAATTTTGAAAAATTATTTTTTAATTTTTTCACTTGCAGCTTTAAATAATTCATTGAGCAAGCAATGCTGACTAGCATATAAATATTAAGCCGATCAATTAAAAAAAATAAAATATTTTATCAAATTCTAAAACCAGTTAAAAATGTTGTTTAGGCCAAAGCTTAGATTCAACTGTAGTTAAAATCGATTAGCTCGTCTTCCACGCACACACAAATAACAATAAATATTTTTTGCAGCCTTAAAATCGCCAACCTAAAGATCAAATTACTAATCACAACATTCTTTTGCGCGCTGTGCAACTGTTTGCTTTCTACTTGCAGGTTACACCATATCGAGAAGTTATCCAATGAGAAAGCCGCTTAAATTTTGGTAAGTACCCGTTAAGCTATCTTTAAGGCAATCCATCCATAGACTGACCAAAGACATAAAGTCTTCTGCAAATGAGACGCTTTTATGTGCCCGAATGGACTTTATTTTTTAATTAGAAAGTCAACACACATACATACAAACACACACACCGAGACACAGATGAGGGCGGGTAGGGAAATTGCGGGGAAAACTCACATATATGAGAGACGCCTTTGTGAGCTCTCACTCCTGGCCAGTTTGTTTGGCTTTTGTTTACTCGTATATTTGTGTGCTACTTAAGATGAAATGGCAAGAAAAGTGACGTTTATGCAGCTCACAGGGGATGCAAGAGCGACGGCTCATAAGGGCAGGGCGTGAAGAGTGAAGAGTTGGGACCTTATATGCAGGGCACAGCACTAGCCTGTGTCCGTTTTAATTTTAGGTGCTCTTAACGCAACGTTGACTGCCAATTCCTTTCATTTCTATCTCCATCTCTCTCTTTCTCTACCTCTCTCTCTCTCTCTATTCCTCCAACTCTTTCGATTGCAATATAGGGAAAATAGACGCTGACTAAGAAGACGAGACGCTTCGGGCTTGGGTAGGCACCGCCTCTTGAGGCAGACGCAACAGCAACGGAAGCGGATATTGCTGAAGTTGCATTTGTGTGTGTATGTGTGTGTGTGTAATGATGCGACATGTTGTTATCCTTCTGCTGTCAGCAGGCGCAGTTAGTTGTTGCCGTTATTGCTGCCGCCGTGCAACATTTACAAGCAGTTGCAATTATTTTCAGCTTAAATGACAAAATACAAGGAAACAAGTCTTAAGCATTTCTAGCACACCTAACCAAAGCCAGCCCAGGCACAGGTCTCGTTATTATTCTTGTTGTTGTACTGTTTGTTATTATTCTTGTTGTTGTTCTTGTTGTTGCTGCTGGCAGTCAGCGCCTCCACGCAAGTTGCCGACGTGTAAATGAGTTTTTTTTTCGCATTCCTACACACGAGAATACCCTCTATCTAAGAGTAGTACGGTATATCACAGTACGCACAAAGTAAAATAAAGTAAATAGGAAAGTTTAAGCACAATTCTTATAGATACATTGTAGATTTATTTGTTTTTGTTTGGACTTTAACCTTTGTTAAGAAATTAGTGCCAACATATTTTAGGTAAATATTTTTATTTAGTATTTTTATTTAAATTTTAAAATAATATCAATTTTTTCTGGCTTGAATTAAGCAAAACAAAACACGATTTTTATTTTTTAATATTCCAAATTCAAAGGAATTATATTTTGAAATTTTAGCTTAAATATGACTATTATGATACCCAGCAATTACAGACATGTCATTAAATCTAATTCATATCTTAGACATTTAGTTCGGAACTATTTCTGGCTGGTATCACACAGTCGTGCCATCTTATCTTTATGGTATTCTCTTCTCTTTATCGTGAACTTTGTGTGCCCCTGCATTGATGTTGTTGTGTGTGTGTTCTGCTGTGCTGTGCTGTGTTTAATTTAAACAGGCCCAACTTTTGCCTGGCTGCTTGAGTCACGAGTCCTGCTCCTGTTGCTGCCGCGTGTGTGCCCCTCTCCCCTCGCTTTGTGCTGGCCATGTGAATGTTGCTGTTGCTACTTTGCCAGTTTTCTTTTCATATTTGCCATATGTGCAACAGCAGCAACAACAACTTCTCATTTCGCTGCCTGCTCAGCTGCTCTTATGTCGGCCTAAGTAAGTGCACCTAAGGCTACTTATGAAAAATGTAAATTAAAGTTGACTTTTAGGCGCACAATGCCCGAGCCAGCTACAATGACGTCTCTGAAGTCCCTGCTCGGGCGCCTTTGCAAAACTTGCCATGCTGAACTTCAGTGTACTTCGGTGTTAAGAAAGTCTTGCACATTGAATATTTAGCACAGCGACCCATGTGCTCTGCCCAGTTCCTACTAATCAACCCACGAGCCCGTCTACCTCAGCCTGAAAAAGTAGTATGGAAAGTTGTTCGACTGTTGTTCGCCATGCACTGACAACTCTCAAAGAGTCCGCAGCCAGGACCGGAAATCGTTTTAAGAACGGAAGTGAAATTTCTGGCATTAACTCGTGCTCGTTCGCCAGTTCGGCGGCAGCTGAGCGCAACCATCTAACATCGCACATCTAACATCGTCTATCTGGGCAGCACATAATCTTTTATACACAACTAAATAATAATAAAAAATAAAAAAACAAAAAAAACCGCGACTACAACGCAAATTCATTCAATTGCAAAAAGAAAATTACCCTAAAAAAACAGAACAGCGACACAGACCGAGGGTTCTAGCACTAAGCTAACTACAGCAACAAGTCGTTATGATTATCTAGAATTAAATAAAGCATACACACATTCACAGACACCCTCACACACTCACAGACACACACACGCACACACATAAAGCTCAAGTCTGCTTCCGACTCGGGCTCTGACCAATGGCCAATGGCAGCCGCTCACTTGAACGTTCGACCAAGTTGCACGCCTCGGTGAGCAGCAGCCGCGACCCCGAATCGAGCCACCGTTCCATTCTGATCTCCATACATCCACCCCCGACCCCATGCCCCATTTCGGCCCAATTTCAACTGCTCCCAAACGATCGCGCGCGCTATTCGCTTTGGAAATTAAGTCAGCAAATGACTTGTAGAATATCAACACATGTCCAGCGACTGTTTGTCAGTCCGTCCATCCGTGCCGTCGTCCAACTGGTCGTTGCTTGTCCATGTATCTGTGAGATTGTTTTTTATTTTGGTTATGAGCCGGCGACGTAAACAACAACAACGAGAACCAGCCGAGCAATAAGATAATCAAGTGTAATTTATTTCGTATTTGGTGCGCGCCATGCATGAATACGACGAATACGACTAAGTTGGACCGCGACTATAAACTGTGACTGTGAATGCGAGCAACCATCTAACTATCTAGTATCTAGGAACCTAAACGCGCGCTGAGATAAATACAGCTGCAGCTGCACACACACAAACACACACAGTCTATCATATAAATTTTAAAAAAAGTCCACTAATGCTGGGACCTTACATAAAAGCAAGACAGCTTAGTTTAGCACTTATCAACGACATTTAAATACTCTTAACTGTTTGGATTTAATTTTCCAAAATTTTAACCTTTTTATTATCATACATTTAAAAAACAAAAGAAAACTATATAACTAAAAAGCAATATTGCAACTTAAGTGAAAACTTGTCTTAAAAAATCTTCGAAAAAGCGCAGTTAATATTTAGCGAAAAATATTCCTAGACGCTATCGAAAATCTCTCAACAATATTTTATATAAATTTAATTTCTACTATACTCAACATTTTGTTATTACATTTTAAAAAATATCCGTAGCATGTACAGTTTAGTTCATTTCAAACAACTTTCTTGTCTTTGGAAAAAATTAGTCCAAAAATTGAACAAAAATGCATTTTATGATTGTTGTATTTATATTTAGTATTTACATAAGCTCTTGGGTTTCGTTACCTTTACTTATAATATTTCAAATTTATTGTTTGTGTAATCAATACCAATTCGAACAACTAATCGAAAAAAATTATGATTATCGATATTCTTTTTCTATTTCTATTCTATTTGCTATAATAATTTAAAAACAATTGTACCTTGAAATAAATTGTAGTTATTTGATAAATTCTTAACTTATTTAATTTAACCCTTATGGTATACAAATATTTATCTGCTTATATCTGAAAATAATTCCTTCAAATAGACATACTTTGCCTACTCTGCGAACAACAAACTCTATAACAAACCTGTTGTACCCCCTAAAGAGCATTTGAATAACACGCCCAACCCCCTCGATCTCGACCGGATGCACGAGCACTTGGCGTGTCATTAGTCGATTTCGATGCCGATTCTGTGGATCTCTAGGCCCGTCCACTGGCCCTGCTCGCGTTTTAAGTGTCTCATATGGCAAAATCATTGAAGCATCGAATTACACTGCCCAGTTCTGGTACAGTTTGGCTTAAACACGATAGAGACTCATGTTTTTGAAATTGTGGAAATGTGTGACAAGGCGGCAGCTTAACGGCTGCGAATGCTGCTATCAACAATAACTAACTGCAAGTCGCTGCATATATATACATATGTTTCCCACGTGCAGCGGCACCAACAAGTGGCACACCCTCAAGCCCTACTCACACCCTGCCGCAGGCACAACAAGTCGTTAAACCCAACAACTCCATATAGCACGCACCAAGCCCGAAATCGAAACAATAAGGGGGAGCGCGACATAAATAAACACATATTAAACAAAAAAGAACGCTTCACCACGCCGCACTTGAAATACCCTTGTCGACATGTGGCCTAAAGCTTTATTTGCGTCCGATGAAGCAATATAATATAGTAGTCCGACTTGATACGATGTTGGTGATACATTGGGAGAAAAGCAAAGCTCGTACTTGTTGTCGAGGTATCTTGAAAAACAGAAAGGTTTTTAAAATAACTCATTTTCCGATAGAGCTATATGATAAGTAGTCCGATTCTGTAAAGACTTAGCTCTTACATATATAGGAAGCATAGTGGCACTCGTAAATCCCAGGTTTGCTCAAGATTTAATGGAAAACACAGCTTTTCATTATAGAACCTAATTTTCAACCGATCGTGCCTATTAAATATTGGTCCGTTTCTGCCAATTACGATATACATATGTACTTTCTGCAACAGATATATGCACCTTTGCGAAGTTCATGTTGATAGCATTGAAATTAATCGAGTCAGCGGCTAATAATGATAAAGAACATATATACTATATATTGGTTAGGACACGTCTGCTTCCCTGCCACACATTTAACAACAACATTAAAATACCCACTAAAAGGGTATACAAAGAAAAGCAACAAAAAGGCGAAAAATTAATAATATGCCAGAAAGCAACAACAGCAAAAGGTAAAAGCGTCGCCCATGAAGCAAAGTTCCGATGCCGTTGCACGTTGCACGCTGCTCGTTGCACGCTTCTCGTTGGTGGTTGTCGATGCTGCTGAAAAGCCGCAGACAGGCGGCACAGAGCACAGAGCACGGGACAAAGTGAACAGTGAAGGTGGTGGCCCAAATGGCCAGCGCAAATCTTTCAAGAGTAGTTCCGCTTTTTTGTTGTGGCCGCAGTCGCAGCACATCCGCTTCAAGTTGTTTGCCTCACGGGCTGCTGCTGCTTGCTGCCTGCCACCGCTCCGAGCGGAACTGAACGAAGAATTTTGTCAGCCGCGATCCCAACTATGAGGGAATACGCACTGATTATCTTTGTATAATGATTACAATTAAAAGAGCTTCAGGGGGGCAGAAGGCGTGGCGGGCGCTGGGCGTGTAATGTGCGGCACAGGTCAACATCTAGGGGGGGAGGGGGGGCCGCACCTGATCACTTTTAACTTTTTAACTGTCACCGGAAACATCCGCCATTTTGTCTAAAAAAAACTCGAGCTCAATTTTGCTTCTTGTTGCGCATTGGCTAGCAAAAGAGACAGAGATTCAAACTATAATAGTACGCAGCAATTCGTAATGTTGTTGTTTTTGTTGGTGCAGTTGCTGCTGCTCCAAGTTTCGTTACGCCTAATGAGCAGACCATGACGGTGAGTGTGTGAGTGCGTGTTGTGGGTGTATTTCTTTGCGCTTGCATAAGCAGCGCGCCTCAGCGAATCACTAGCGCAACGAAATCAGAGAGAAATCGTCACATGGGAGTAGCCCTCGCAGCGTCGATCGCTAGTCATACCCCCCACCTCCCTCCCTCATTATCTACCCACACACTCGCGCTCACACCCACAGCTGCGCCGCTGGCTTCGTCGGTTCTTCTTCGCCTTTGGTCGCACAATTGATTTCGCCGCATTTTGTATTTGCTAGTCGCCGTCATCGTCGCTTGACTGCCTCTTTGCTCAATTCGCCCGCCCGTCGTCTCTTTGATTTAGTTCGGTTTCCACACGTTCCACCTTCCCCCTTCTATCCCTCCCCCACCGCTTGAACGTCTGTCACTTATCTTTCATTAAATGCATTGGCCGCCGTTCGCAGCGCTGATTAACTTGCAAGTCGGCTCGAAATTTCATTGGCTGTTCAGTTAATGGGGCTGGGCAGGGCCTTCCCGTTGGGCATTTTCTTAACTTTGGGCTTTTTTATATGTGTGTATTTCCGAGAGACCTAATCAATAAATCACTTCAAGGTTTTCTTAATTAAAAGTTTTTGACCAACAACAAACCACAGACTCGCTTTTCTAATAAACTTTTCTACATGAAAAAAGACAAAAAAACAAAATAGCGAAAAATTGATTAACTGCCAGAAGACCACAAAAAAAATTTACCGTAAAATCAACTCCAGCTGAGGACGCTCAATGTGAGCAGCAAAGTTTCGAACCCTTTCCAATAAGAAAAACTTTTCAACTTCCAACAAGAAAACGAGGCAGCCCTTCGAGGAATATGTGAAACTACAGACAGCAAAAACTGTAAAACTGAAAACTGAAAACTATTAAACGCTTAAGTCAGGCGGAAAATGAGACAAATAGTTGTAAACTAAGACTCGCCAAAAGAAGCTTAAATATGCTCAGCCTTAATTAAGGGTAGCTTGCGTAAGGTACAAGGAAAAGTAGAAGAAAAACCAAAAAAAAAGAAAAAGGGAGCCCAAAACGAATCCGACTAATTGGCTGGCGCGAAAAGCACAATGCCAAAAGCGAACCAGGGGGGAGAGAAACTGCTGGGCAAATGCTTTCAAACGACATGAAAAATCAAAAGAAATCAGAACCAAAACTCAACATCGACCCCACTTGACATTAAATGTTAACCGCTTAAGCTGGCCACACTTATTTATGCTTTCTTCTGGCAAATTTCTTGAAATATTTACCCAGGCCAAACAATAGCATGCGCCAAGAAAAAAAGGTGAGACCGGCAACACACACACACACACACACACAATGCACACTACAAATTTTTTCCAGTACCAAAAAAGTTGTTCTTTGGGGCTATTGACATAATTTTGCAGGCTAGCGACCCACAAGTCACACTCAAGGCGTTTGGCCAGGCACTTGAGGACCTGATTCTAAAGACAAATCCACCCTCAATTAGCTGCTCGAGTATCCTGCCAAAGACGTTGTCCTTTTGTAAGTGTCCTGTAAGCCGGCATGTTCTTTTGTTAATATTTGTTTTCTTTATTTGGGCTGTTTGGGTCTCAGTTTCAGTTTCAGTTTATGGTTTTGGTTTTTGGTTCTGGTTTCATTTACATGCTCGTTATGAGAGTTTTGCCGCAAATTAGCTTTTGTTTTGCTCTAAAGACGCAGCTGATTACGCAGACGCCTTCTTATTGGCACTTCCGCACCAAGTTTACATAGCATATTTATAGGGGGATTCCAGACAGGCAACTAAACGTATATCTAATGGCAGTTTAAGCGCACACAGTGAGAAAAGTTCAGAGACTCGTAGTCGCTTGAGTAGCGCGGTAGGCAGTGAGTCCATACTCTCAGCACGCCAATTTAGGGATCCAGACCCCGTGAAGACATTTTATAATTTTTAATATGCCTGGCTCTATTCAACTGTAGAAACACAAATGGCACATAAAGCAAAAGAAGTATTACAAGCTAATTAATAATTATACCCAATTTAAAATAATATTAAATAGAATTTCTTTCTTAAATCAAGTCAAGCCTTCAATGTACGATTGGACCGTGTGTACAAAATTCATGTATGTCATTTCAATTTACTACAAAAAACAAACTATATTCAAGTTAGATATTTATAAGCTTGAAAAGGGTACATTTTTTATCAAATATTATATCTATGCAAAACTCTTGATTCAAGCATTTTAAGCCTGAAGAACAACTTCGAACTTATCGGAAATTATTTACGTATTGTTTGATTCAAGAATTAGAAAAACTTTGAAATCATCTGAAATTAATTACGTATTTAAAGTAAGCACTAGCTTCTTCTCACTGTGTACTTGTGACTATAGGGAAGTTGGCGTCGCCTGATGTTTTAGCTGTTGTTTGGGCTATCTAATCGGTTATATGACTGCCTGCACCGTTTGTCAAATCTTGTGCACACTTGAATCCTTGATAAACCGCGATTGCGGCTATATCTGGCACATAGATATATATATATATATACCCATATCTAATCAAGAGTCGGGCACACTGCCAGTTAAAATATTGACTCTCATTGTTTGCCTAACTAGTCACATTTTATTTCCCTACTTGCTGCAAGTATTATTTCGATTTCGATTTTATCAGGCAATGCGATTTGTGGCTTGCCTCCAGATTGACTTTCCACTCACAAATGGAAATTGTCGCTATTGGTTTAGCGGTACCTTATCGGAAAAGCGCTGCTGGAAAAGCATTTATATGCATTTTCCATTGCACACTAATATGCATAATTTATGTGCGACCTGTTAGCTCGCCCGCCCAAACACTTCCGCAAATTAAACGCGCTCTACTTCCGCCATCAATGCGAGTGTCCAATAAGTCAAATAGTCCTTGGCCAACCCTTAGCTTAGGCCCCGTTCTTGTTGCAGTTTCGCTTTTGGGTTTACTTTTTTTCCAGTTAGTTCCCACCATAAAAGTCGGCGCCCCTCTGCGGAATTTCCCGGATATTGTTATGGGCCCGGCAATTGGTATATGGATATGTATATCTTAATGGGAATGTGAACGCCTTTTCCTTCCGCCGCTCAACGCCTACGCCGACTTGTATACCTCTGCCTGTTTATGCTGTTGTTGTTGTTTTTGTTTTTGTTGTTCTGTTTAACAAATTTCAAAAAGTGCAAAATGATTGCGGTTTCGTGTTTTCAGTTGTTGGTGTTGTTGTTTAGCCAACCCCCTCAGCTCCCCACAGTCCCTTTCCATTGGCAGCTTAATGTGTGGGCAACACGCTAACTGGAAATTGCTGTGCGAAAAACAGATGCAGTGTTACTGTACAGTTTGTGAGGCACTTGCTGTGGCCTGTCAATTGGTCCTATTCAACTGAAAACGAATGCAGTTGCAAATTATGCCCCTAAAACTGTAAATGGAAACAGTTTCAAATTCAAAAACCGATTTTTGCTTAAATGAATTTCAAAGATAAAACATTAATAATTAATGTTTGAAAGTGTAATTATTAAAGTTCCACAAAAATCAGACAATTTATCAAAAAAAACTTAAAAAAAAAGTTAATTTTAAGATAAATATTAATTAAAAATTCCACACAATTCGTGGCAGCAAATTTGTTATGCCCATTTGTCGTTGGTGCCAGAAGGATGCCAAACTATTATTGGAATGCCAACATGGCATATACTGCTCTACAGTTTGAGAGTCACTCGCCCCTGCTGGAAGATGTGTTCTTCTTAAAATTGAAAGGAATTTTTATTGCAAAGTATTATGATTATGTGTGTATGTATTTTGTTCAGTTTTAAAAAATATACCAACTAAATATATATACTCTACTATCACTTATAGTTCTAAAGAGCAGTTAACAATTTTAACGTTAGTTTTTTCCACTTGATGTTGTTGTTGCTTCTCATTCGATATCATTTTCCTTTGCTTACTTTTTTTGAATTGTTTTTCATATGTATATATATATTTTTGTAGTTTTTCTTTTGTACTTTCCAACAACTTGGTGACATTTTGAGGCATGCATTTGGGGTTACTCGGCGTACATGAACGATATATGAATATATATATACACATATATATACACATATACATACACATACATATATATATATATATGTATGTATACATAGTAATACTATGCTACTTGGTCAGGTTCTTCCGCTGCTCGGCGACATCCTTCTCGTTTAGTTGGATTACACGGCGGCCAAAGCGCGCCGTCAGCTTGGAGAAGAAGCCGACGCGGGAGGCGGGCTTGGTGTCGTCCGCCGAGAGTGGCGGCGCCTGATGGTAGCTATCCTCATCGCAGTTGCCAGAGTTGCCGCGCCCATGCTTGCCACTGCGCCCCTGACCAAAGTGAAACGTGGCGCGCGCCACATTGCTTCGCGTGAAGGGCTTGTCGCCGGACTTGTCCGGCGGGGGCGTCGGCGTGGGCGTGGGCGTGGCACGGCCAGCGGCACAAGCACCAGTTGCCTGGGCATTGACGTGCAGCCGTTCCAGCAGACGCCCATCCAAGGGCGATCTGGGCGCCTGCAAAGGACTCGCTGCCGCAGTCGGTGCTGCTGCTGCTGCTGCTGCTGTCGCGGGCTCAGCCTTCTCGTAGAGCGTTGTGGGCCTTCGCCCGGAGCCCTGGTAGTGGAAGCGTTGCGGACTGTTGGCCAACTTCTGGGCCTGGGCCAGCTGCCGCTGGGCGCTGAGCAGCGTGGGTTTGACATCAACGCCGCCAGCCCCACTGGAGCTGATGGCGCGCTTGCTCTGAGGCGTCTGCGGGGAGCGATTGCGACTAGGCGTGGTGGTTGTGCTGTTGCCGGTACTGGAGGAGACTGTCTTGCGGGCGGGCGTGCGGCGTGTGGGCTTGGCGGGCGGTGGTGCTGCTGCCGCTGCTGCTGCGGCGGCGGTGGTGGGCGGACTTGTGATGGTGTTTGGTGCTGGGCTAGCCGCAGCCAGCGCATTAGCCACTCGCGGCGGCAGAGGACGATTTGTGGCTGAAAGAGTTTTCTCGAGGGGCAGCGTCACCTGCACACAGCTGGCCAAGGGCAGGACGCTGGAAGAGGAACTGTCCGAAGTGGTTGTTTCTGACGTGGTCTGGCGGGAGCCGCGTGGTTTGGCCACGCCCAGCAGCATGTAGGTGCAGTAAATGTCATCAAAGGCCTGACCCCTCAGGGATGCCTCAACATCCCGACGCTTGTAGCCCATGTGGACCAGCTGATCCAGTCGCACGGCATCCTGCAGCTCCATGGGCTTCTCGCGAAACGGACGCAGCCGATCCGCTTCCTCGTGCCCGAGGTTAATCCACTTATCGCCCATGACACCATTCAGTGTGGTGCGCTTGGCCGGATTGAGCACGAGGAATTTGCGCATCAGATTCTCACAGTCCATTGAGATGTAGTAGGGCACACGATATTTGCCTCGCAGCACACGCTCCCGCAGCTCCTTCAGTGTGCCGCCATCGAAGGGCAGCGAGCCACTGACCAGCGTATAGAGGACCACACCCAGCGACCAGGCATCCACCTCGGGCCCGGCATACTTCCGCCCCATAAACAGCTCCGGTGCGGCATATGGCGGGCTACCACAAAACGTTTCCAGCTGTGCGTTCGGATCGAACGTATTGCCAAATCCAAAGTCTGCGATCTTGATATTCATGTGCTGATCGAGCAGCAGATTCTCGGCCTTCAGATCGCGATGCACCACAAACTTGCTGTGGCAATACTGAATGGCCGAAACCAGCTGCCGGAAGATGAGACGAGCGTCTCGCTCCCGCATGCGTCCGTTCTTGACCAGATGATCGAATAGCTCGCCGCGACTGGCGTATTCCATGATCAGATAGAGCGTGCGCTCCGACTCGATCACCTGGAATAGCCGGACAATGTTCGGATGATTTAACAGCTTCATGATGCGCACCTCACGGTACAGCTTCTGTCTGGCGCTGGTGTTCAGCTGCGTCTTGTCTATCACCTTGATGGCCACCTCACGACCAGTGGGCACATGGAGAGCCAGCTTCACCTTGGCAAAGTTGCCCTTGCCCAGTGTCTTGATGATCTTGTAAACACCGTTGCCGTTGCCATTCACATACGACTGAAACTTGAGCTCCGTACCATTGCCCATGCCATCGGTCGCATCCTGGCCGGCTGCTTGGCTGCCCAGACGAACCGTGGCTGCGGCGCTGCTTGTGGGCGTGGCCTGTTCCGCCTTGGGAGCTTGGCTCGAGCAGCACTTTGCTGGCGTTGCACTTGCTGTTGAAGCCGCTGTTGTAGTGGCAGTGGCAGCTGTCGGGGATTGTCTGTTACAGTTCTCTTTCTCTGATGTTTTAAAAGTTTTTGGCGCTTTCTCGTCTGCTGCTGCCGCTGCTGCTTTTATTTTTGCCGCACTCTCATCTGCCAAGCTGAATTCTACAATTTCTAAATGTTTATCCGCCGACATTCTAAACTAACAAATTTTGTAGAGCTTCAAACACGAAACTGAAAGCTAAAGAGATCGGGTCCCAAAATAGCCAAGTGGCGTTTGCTTTTTGGTGGGATATGGCTTCTGGCTGCCAGTTCGGCGCATGCCACACACGCGTCCTTTGCGGCAAATTTCAAATGGCAAATGTAAATAATTCCTCGACTCCCTCGGCGACCCTCAAGGCGCAAATTGTGGACTCGTCAGCTCGATTGGGTTTTCACTCTGAACATCTGCTCTTTTTTCGTGCACCCTCCTCCTGGGCCGGTTAGCTTTAAGATAAGAGCCTCAACCCTCAGCGTTCAGCTGGCGGTGCTGGCAACGCATGGCTGATAAGCAGCGCTCGTCCTCGACAGGATCGCTTTGTCTCGCCCCTCAGTTGCCCACCGCATGAAACTTCTTTATGAATTCAACAACCCTCAGGACTTGCTATCGAAGTCAGAGGCAATGGACTAATGCCTCATGTGGCACGAGCCTTTTATGGCCCTCGTCTTTGCAGTCCCTTCCCTTCTGATGACGTTGCTGATTCTGATCGTGTGCCGTTCTTGTTGGTGTCACATGAATTTCCACTTGGTTTATCGCTGAGCGTTGACAACTTAAATGTGTCAGCAGCTGCCTGCAAGGAAAACAGTAAAGGATTTAATTGCAGGTGATAAATGTAAGTAGAGCAAGGGGGTCTAGAGCAGGGACAAACAAAAAGCCTACACAAGCCTACGTATTCAACTTGTTTTAATCATTATTGATTGCTATTCCATTTAAAGTCCAAATTTTATTCTTTCCCATTATCAAATCGAGTCAAATATTACCAATCTAATTCAGATAGTAGATCCTCCTGTTGTACGTGAAGATTAATTTACTTTAAAAAATTGCACTGCGTTTCCCCGAAATTGATTGGAATCGATTTTAAGGTTAACTTTTTTTTCATGTCTCAGAGATCATATGAGGTATAGTACTCACAGATCCAGTATATATCACTTATCGCCCTTTCCCCGAAAATTTCATACAGAATCGACTATACACACCGAGGTTATTAAAGATATCTTCTGGGTAAAGGTATCTATCACTGGGTATCTTCCAGTCGGCCACTCTTACTTGTTTTAATTGACAATATTCTCATAAATGTGACCATCAAAATATCCAACGATCATTGTTTGCTTTTGCATTAATTTTCGTTCCATTCGCACCACTGTAAAACCGCCATATGATCCCTCTATAAGTAATTTGCTCTCAGTACTGTCTCTCTCTCTCTTTCTCTCTCTTTTTCGTTCCTTCTCTTGCTCGCAGTTCATTAATTACCTTTCGTTGCGCACTGTGTTCTTTCGTTTCTTCCTTAATTCCCTCTTGCTTTGCACTTACATTTCGCTTGCACATCCTGCGATCCGCAGGACGAGCTACCTAGCCGAACTACCCTAACAGCTACCTACATATTTACCTCGAAAAACACAAAAAAGAGAAATTAACTCATGCAACAACTACAACAAAGGAACTGAAACTGGTCCTTAATCTGGCTTTTCTTTGCGCCTCGGCATTCGCTCGTTCGCCGCGTGCGACGTGTAACAATTTCTGGTTCTCGCTTTGAGCGCTCGCACACATGTGTCCTTGATCCTGCTTACTTGTTTTCGTTGTTTCGGTGTTGTTGTTGTTGTTGCTTGCAACATTTTCTCAAATTTTGCCATCGTCATTCTCATTCCCTTATCCTCCATCCAACCCTGACTGCCTGCCGCTGCCTGCCTGCCTGCCTCTCAGCTTGCCCGTCTCGTCGACTTGTCCGCTTTGGGTCGCATGCAGCGGCATTGTCGTCTCCTTTTTTTCGCTTCCTCCTCTTACTATGCCCTTTCTTTGTGAGCGTGTGTGTGTGTGTGCGTCTCGTTCATTCGTAATTCAATTGCAGCTGCTTCTTTTATGCTTTTATTTGTATTATTTTTGGCCTACACATTTTCTCTGCTTTGTGCCGCTGCTCGAAAAGATGCGATTCGCAATGTCAGCAAAAAAAACAACAAGAAAGAAAAACAACAACCAAATTTGTAACAACAACAACAGCAGACACTTGCATCTACATGGTAATTCCTAGAATTGGCAACAACTACGATTATTTGGTAAATCGAATTTCTGCCACAGCTCTGCAGTTGCAGCTGCCCAGTTCAATGGACCCCAAAGACCCCCGCGTTCCGCTCCCCTACACAGCTGCCAACACCAGGGCCCACATACATACATACATACATATGTATGTATGCAGAAGTAAACAGCAGTGGGGTTTAGTTGGAAGAGCGGGGGGTGCGGGTCGGGGTTTTTGTTAACATTCAAGTGTCGCCTTTGTTGCTGCCTTCTTTAGCGCCTTCATTTGTTTGCCCCATTCTATTTTGATTCTTATTCTTGCGTACGTTTCTCGCGCCACAACCCACTCTCCCTTAGCCGTTACTAACCGTTGATCGACGCTCTCAGTCTGTTTGCCTGCTCGCCTCTTCCTGATGTTTATCTCTTGCTGGCCACAAAATACTCTTCCCGTTGAGTCATCAGCAACTGCCCGCAGCCTGAGACGCCAGCGGCGTCGGCGGCGCTTGGTCTTCGTTTTTCACTTGATCTTCTCGAGTTCTCTTTGCTGCTGCGCGTTGTTTTAACGCACTTTTCTAGTTTTCCATCTATCTTTTGCCCTTGGCTTGGCATACAAACACACACATACACACACACACACACATACTTACGCTTCATTAGCAGCCTGCCATCACTTAATTGTTTTATTGTTTCTACTTTGACACTATTTCTTCGAAACGAGTCAGACTTTTTTTGATGATTGCCAGCTCAGCTTGGAGGAGCACTTGAAATCGCAATTCCCAGCGGATTGGATCGCTTGGTTTATTAATAAAACGCCTCTTTAATTGCAAAAGAAGTACGCCCACTTGAACAGCAGATGGACAGATGGACGCGGACGCAGACACAGACAGACACCAAGACAGACCGCAAACTGAGAGCGGCGATAAGGCGGCAGCAGCCGACAACAACAGCTCCGCCGCTGCTACGGTCCCCATGGAGCGAGCGCTTATCTTGTGCCCGTGTCCCGAAATCGAAAACCAGAAATCAAAAGACCAAAGCAGCGCCAAGATAATTGCACATTTTACTTACGTTCCGTTTCGTTCCGTTGCCCCGTGCCCAATACCGCACCCGTTCCCGTTTCCCGGGCAGCAATCAAAAACAAATTAGAGTTAATCCACACACACATATGAGATGCCAGCAAAATCCGAAATTTATCTGCGACTCTGCGCGTCGAACTACAAGATACAAAGCGCGTCGTTGTACTGAACGCACAACTAAAGTGCCACTGCCCAGACCCAGGCCCAGGCCCAGGCCAAGTTCCAGATCCATCGCACATAGCGATACAGGTCTGAGACGGAGAGAGAGTATCTTAAAGAACTGCACGATACAGATGCGTTCGGAGAGTGCGAGAGAGTGAGCGTGCGAGCGAGCGTGGCTCTTCTTATGCTCATCGTCGTTTATGCCCATTACACGCTCATTCTTTGCCGCTTCTTGCCCTGTTGCGGCTCAAGCGTTTGAAGGTCGTTGTATTTCCTTGAGCGTTTCTTGAGGCGTGACGTCACAGTTAGGCAACGATGACGACGTCGTTGGGCAGGGGAAATAAACGATGGCCACAACAATGCACAACTTCGGTTTCGGCTTCGTTTTCGTTATCGTCTTCGTTTTGTGGCTGGCTGCCTCTTGCTCTCTAGCTTAAGTTTCTGCGGCGAATTTGTTGTCAATTTGCTTTTGTAGTGGTTCAAACGGCTCGCCTCCACATCTTCTCCTGAAACATTATTGGTGTGAGTTTTCTTACAGTAGCTGTTTTCGTGGTGGTGGTATGCCAGTGTTGCCGACTCTTTCTAATTGTGAATGTGTACGTGTGTGAATGTGTATGTGTGACTTAAAGTTTTCTTATTCGCCGGTTGATTTCGCTGCGTGTCGTGCACTGTATTTGTATTTGGTATCTTATCGTATGCCCATCGCTCAATCAAGTGTACGTGCTGTTGGTGTGGGTGTCTGGGACTGGGACCAATAAGAACGAGGCAATCTTAAAGCGAGTTCCGCTTGGGCTGTCTGACCAACTGTTCTCCCTCGTTTAGCTGGCAGAGACAATGCCAGTCAAAAGCCAAAACAGTTTGATTAAAAACCCAAGCAAAAGTTGCCATAACGAATAAATAATAAAATGCACTTGGTTTTCTCATTTTGTTGTTGCTTGTTTTTTATTTAAATGAAAAGAAAAATTATAATGACAAAGTAGGCGACAAGAGCTAAAGGGGGCGGCATGGCACGGAGGGCGTTGCCTACTCGGACGATGCAGATGCTGCTGATTATAATAACGGTTTTTTTAAATATATATATTTTTTTTTTGCTTGGTTCTTGTTCTATTTTTTGACGTTTTACGGGTTTCTTTGGACGCGGCAACTTTGAGGCGCTTGATTAAAAAGCTTTTGCATTTTACTGCCTTTTACATGCACTACAGTTTTCCTTTTGATTGAAATTACTTTGAGATAAACTTATGCCTTCAAATAGCTCCGATTTCCTCTCAATCTCTCTATCCCTCCCTCCCCCCTCTTTCTATTGTAATGCAGGCCTAAATCGCATTACTCCCATTCAAACTCAAATAGTCGTATTTGCATATTCACAAGTATGTACTTAGTTCTATATAAGAAGAAGAAGCTCACGCTGCGAATGTGGGCCAAAGTGACATGTTAATAATTAAGCGGGTAATTAAGCATGCCAACAACAGCAGACGAAAGCCCCTAAAAAATATCTCATAGTGAATGGGTTTTGGTTACGAGTTACCCTGTGAATAAGGGCAGATTAAGAAAATCATAAATTAACTCTTATAACTTTTAAAATAAAAACTGAACTTTAATACTTTATTTGTTAAATTTCTCAGAAAATAAATTGAGCTGTTTATGTTTTATTAAAAAGTTGTGCATGCCTTTCATTTTTGATATACATACCTATTAAACTAGGTATTAAGTAATTTAATATTTATATCCGTAATATCGAATCTAAGTCCCTT